TTATATTAAATTTAAAAGGCTTTGCACAAACAAAGCAAATGCAACCAAGATAAGAAAGCAAGCAGAAAACTGGGAAACAATTTTTACAGCAAGTGTCTCTGATAAAACCCTCATTTCTCAAATATATAGAGAACTGATGCTAATTTATAAGAATACAGGTCATTCCCCAATTGATAAATGGTCAAAGGATGTGAACAGGCAGTTTTCAGATGAAGTAATCAAAGCTATCTACAATCATTGAAAAAAAATATCTAAATCAACATTAATTAGAAAAATGCAAATTAAAATAACTTTGAGGTACCACCTCACACCTATCAAATTGGCTAATATTACAGAAAAGGAAAACGGTAATTGTCGGATAGGATGTGGGAAAATTGGGGCACTAATACACTATTAGTGGAGTTGTGAACTGATCCAAACATTTTGGAGAGCAATTTGAAACTATGTCCAAAGGGCAATTAAATTGGGCATACTCTTTGATCCAGCAATACCACTGCTAGTTCTGTATCATAAAGAGATCAAAAAAAAGTGGGAAAGGACCTATGTGTACAAAAATATTATAGGTTGGTTTGTTTGGGTTTTTTTGGTAGCAAACACTTGGAAATTTAGGGAATGCTCATCAATTTGGAAATGGCTGAACAAGTTGTTGTATATGAATGTAATGGAATACTGTTGTGCTAGAAGAAATTGTGTGAACAAGTGGATTTCAGAAAAACCTAGAAAGACATACATGAACTGATGAAAAGTGAAGTGAGCAGAACTAGCAGACACAGTAGCAGCAACATTGTGCACTGATCAGTATGAATGACTTAGCTCTTCTCAGCAATGATCCAAGACAATTCCAAAGAACTCATGATAGAAAATACTACCCACATCCAGAGAAAGAACTGATGGAGTCTGAGTGCAGATGGAAGCATGCTGTTTTCACTTTATTTTTGTTTTGTTTTGTTTTGGTCTGTTTCTTCTTTCACAGCATGACTAATATAGAAATGTGTTACATGATTGCCCTTATATAACCTGAATCAAGTAGCTTACTATTTTAGGGAGGGGGGAGAGAGAGAGAATTTCTAACTCAATGTTTAAAAATAAATGTTAAAAATTATCTTTACATGTGTTTGGGAAAAATGAAAAACCATTTAATAAAAAGAGTTATTGGAAAGGGTTTCCTCATCCTCCTCAAGTGTTTTGATTCTGACCACTGCCTCCCTTAATCCACTCTCCCCTTCATCAGTTTCTTCCTTCTCTTATCCCTTTTCCCTCTTATTTCCCTCTCGTGTAAGATAGATTTCTATATCCAACTCGTGTGTGTGTGTGAGAGACACTTCCCTCTTCCCTTTTTGAACCAATTCTGAGAGTGATGTTCAAACAATATTCCTTATGTATGTAGTTTGATATACAACCAAATACATAATTTGGCCATTGGCAAACACTGGATCTTTCTCCATTTAGTTAGGATAATTGGAGACTAATTCTGCAAAATTTTCATTTCTGCAAGTTCTGCATGTGTGTCTTGGTAGGTAATTTCTTGATAGTTAATGCATTGTTATTTTAAATGGAATTTCTCTATCTCTTCTGTGAAAAAAAATTATACAGGAAATAATTGTTTTCTGCATTAATTTTGTATCCTGCTACTTTACTGAAGGTATTTGTTGCATCAGTTTTTTGTTATTGCTTCACTGAGGTTCTCTAAGGAAACTCTGATATTAACATCAGTTCATTAGAAACATAATAACCTTTGAATGTATTTGTGTGATGCTCATATGGCAAGGGAAATGATGGGGAAAAATTTAAGTAGGAGGTTGCTTGTCGATATTCCATCTCAAACTCTACTAGCAGTAATTATCAAAATTTTCTGATACTAGAAAAGATATAAAAACCAGATCTGTACAATAAATAGGTAAGCAAAACCTAGTCCAGTGTTTGATAACCTCGAGAACACAAAGTACAAGAGTAGGGCCTCTCTATTTAATAAGAGCTACCAAAAAAAATTTTTTTAAAACCTAGGTCTAGTAAAAAGTTGGTCTGTATGGCCATTGTACAGCATATGCCACAATATGTTCCCAAATCCTCAACTAACTAAATATAAGAAGTCATATCATAAACAATTTCATGATATTTATTTCTACTATCCAACAAAAATCCTGGTAGCTGTTATATACAGACCGCCAGGACATTTCCCTTCCTTCCTCAGTGAGTTCAGTACAAGGCTCAGAATTTTCTTTTCCTCCCCAACTCCTGCCTTTATATTAGGAAACTTTAATATATGTATTTACTCTTTCTCAAACACCCTAACAACTCAGTTCTTCTAGTTACTCATTTCCAATGACCTAGTCCTCCATCACCTCATTCACACACAAAGATGGTCATAACTTTGACCTTGCCACCACTCACAAATGTACTAGCTCCATGCTCAAGAATTCTGAAAGTCATTATCTGACAATAATCTACTATATTTTCACCTCTTCCTCTGCCTTCCCTTACCCAACTCTTCTTCTACACCATGACCTCCAATCCTTTGATCCTTCAGTCCTCTATCAAAGCTATTTTCTCTATACTATCCACATTCTTCCCTTTCCCTCATCTTGACCCTTTAGCAAACCAATAAAACTTGACACTGCCCTTGAGTCCTTAGCCACCATAATATTTTATCGTTGTACCTTGCTAATCTTCAGTCTTGGTTCACTCTGACTGGGTCCACTACAAATATATGTTAAATAACCTAAACTGGGCCCTCACTGCTGCTAGGCAAGCCTAATATACTTCCATCTTCAATTCACTATCCTACTCTTCACAACTATTTTTCCATTCTTTGCCATCCCCATCTTCAAATTTCATGTGGCTCCCCCTTCCCCACCCTGTCAGCTGAGAACCTTGCATCATACTTTACAGAAAAAAATTGAGGCCATGAATGATGATCTTGGTCTTCTTCCCTCTTCCTCATCTCATATAACTCACGTTCCTTCTGCCACTGTCTTCTTCTTCACCCATTTCACATGATGAGGTGGTCTTACTCTTTACCAGGTAAGAAATACTTATACCCTTCTGCCTGCTCAAGAGATCCCTTTCCCAAAGGATTGGCCACTTTGTCATACCCAATCTATCACTTATTTTGAAGCTCACCCTTTCTACTGGCTCCTTCCCTGTTGCCTACAAACATGTCCATTGTCTCCCCATCCTGGACAAAAACAAAAACAAAAAACCTCAACTTGATCCTTCCATCCCTGCTACCTCTCATCTCTTTCATCTTTGTGTTTAACCTCTGAAAACGCATCTACATTAAGTGCCTCTGCTTTGTCTCCTCTCACTCTCTTCTTAATCCTTTATGATCTAGCCCTATCATTCCACTGAAACTGCTCTCTCCAGTTACTCATGATCTCTTAGTTGTCAAATCCAATGGCCTTTTCTCAATCCTCATTCTCCTTGACCTCCTTGCAGCTTTTGACAGTGCTGATTACTCTCTCCTTGAAAATCTATTCTCTCTGGGTTTTCAAGACATTCCTTTCTTGGTTCTCCTCCTACTGATCTGACTGCTCCTTCTCTGTCTGCTTTGCTTTTTTTTCTTAAATATAGTTCAATGTTTTTATTCTTTGCCCTTCCCCTTTAGTCTTTCCCTGCCTCTTCCTACAAAAAACGTCCAGGTTATGCCCTCTAACTACAAGTGTCCCACAGATTTCTGCACAGGGCCCTCTTCTTTTACTCTACTTCACTTAGGTGGTCTCATCAGCTCCTGTGGATTTCTATTTCACATTTGCAATAGCTTGCAATTCCCCTTTCTTTCCTCTGACACTGCCCCCCACCCTGGTGCAGACTCTTATCACCTCACACCTAGACTATTGCAATAGCAACTGGGTGGGGGGGAGGGTCTGCCTGCTTCAAGACTTTCCCCACTCCAGTCCATTCTCTGTTCAGCTACTAAAGTGATTTTTTTTAAAGTACAGGTACAACCACGTCACCCCACTACTCAATAAACTCCAGTGGTTCCCAGTAACCTCTGGAATCAAATACAACATCATGTTTGGCATTCAAAGCCCTTCATAACCTAGATCGCTCTTTCTTTCCAGCCTTCTTATACTTTATTCTCTGCCATATATTTTTCAGTCCAGTAACACTGACCTCCTTGCTATTTCACAAATAAGACAACCCATCTTTCATCTCTGGGCATTTTCACTGGCTATCCCCCATACCTAGAATGTTCTCCATCCTCATCTCCACCTATGGCCTTCCATTTTTTCCTTTAAGTCCAACTAAAATCCTGTCTTCCACAGGAAGCCTCTCCCAACCCCTCTTAACTCTTGTGCTTTCCCTCTCTTTTAATTATTTCCTATTTATTGTGTATATTTGTTTGCTTTTAGATTTCATTGGATTATGAGCTCCTTGAAGGCAAGGACTGTTGTTTTGTTTTTTTGTTTGTTTGTTTGTTTGTAAGTATTTATGGTGCCTGGCACATAACAGGCACTTAATAAATGCTAGTTGACTATTGTTTATCAGCTATTGTTCTCCTTCACAACTAAGAGGAAGGGAAATATGTGTAACTAGTTATAGGATAGAATAGACAAAAGAGGCATTCCAATTAGATAAAATTTTTCAAAGTTTTGCACAAATAAAATCAATGTATCTAAAATCAGAAGATACATATTAGAAGGAAAAATATTCCCTTTAAACATCTCTGATAAAAGTATTGCGTGTAAACACAAAAAGGAATATAAATATGAGATTAAGAGCAATTCTGAAATAGACAAATGGTCAAAGGTTAGGAACAGTTCTCAAAAGAAGAAATAGTTTATCAAAAATCATCTGAAAGATGTTCATCACTAATAGAAAAATTCAAATTAAAATGACCCTGAGGAATCACCTCAATCCCCCAAAATGGGGAGCATATTGTTGTAAAGCATTTGGGAAGGTAGGCACATTATTTCACTTCTGATGAGTGTGTAAAATGATTCAATTCAACAAGAATAAAAACTTGGAATTATGAAAGAAAATTTATTGAACTGCTGGTACCCTCTGACCCCAAATTCTATTCCTGGTACTATACCTCAAATAAGTTATTAATAACAACAAGACCCGTATACTCAAAGAATATTCATAATACCGCTATATGTAACAAAAATCTGGAAACAAAGTCTGCCCAACAATCAAAGAAATAGCTCAACCTGTGTGGTATGAATGTAATTTCATATTACTGGGCTATAAGGAATGAAGGATAATAAAAATTCATAGCACCACGGGGAAAGACTTATATGAAACATTGCAAAGTAATGAAAACTGAGCCAAACTTAGCATACACAATGATTGTAATAATGTTAATGAAGTCAGCATTATGAGGCAACAAAACTCTGGTCAAATACAATGATTGATGTCACTACTATACTATCAAAGGTAAATTAAACATTAATCCTTTCTGTTAACAAGCAAAACCTCCCTAGAGGATATTTGTTGGGAAGTGTCTTTTGTCAAAATGTAGCATTACATTTTTTTAATGGAAACAAAAAAGGGCACATTCATAAGTCTCCATTTCACTGCAAACTAATGTTAAGTAAGATGTTTACTTTCCAGGAAAGCCTTCTTTTAATCATTACATCCATAAGATTTATCTGCAATATGACGTCTTTGATGTCGAGTAAGTCCTGTACTCTGGCGAAACGTCTTCCCACATTTATTACATTCATAAGGTTTCTCTCCAGTGTGAATTCTGTGATGGGAAACAAGGGATGAATTGCGATTGAAGGCCTTTCCACATTCATTACATTTATAAGGTCTCTCTCCAGTATGAATTCTGAGATGTGGAGTCAGTTGTGAGCTCTGTCTAAAGGACATTCCACATTCATTGCATACATAAGGTTTCTCTCCTGTGTGAATTCTATGATGTACAGTAAGTTCTGCTCTCTGACAGAAGGCCTTCCCACATTCACTGCATTTATAAGGTTTCTCTCCTGTATGGATTTTCTGATGGCGAGTAAGTACAGCACTGAGGTGAAAAGCCATACCACACTCGTGACATTTGAAAGGTTTCTCACTAGTATGAATTCTATGATGTTGGGTAAGTTCTGTACTCTGACAGAAGGCTTTCCCACATTCATCACATTCATAAGGTTTTTCTCCAGTATGAATTCTCTCATGGTAAGTAAGCTGAGATCTTCTGCAGAAGGCTCTCCCACATTCTTCACATTCAAAAGGTTTCTCTCCTGTATGAATTTTCTGATGTCGTGTAAGCTCTGAGCTCTGGCGGAAGGCTTTTCCACATTCATTACATTTATAAGGTTTCTCTCCTGTATGAATTTTTTGATGTCGAGTTAATTGTGAGCTCTGGTGGAAGGCCTTTCCACACTCATTACACACATAGGGTTTCTCTCCTGTATGAATTCTGTAATGTATGGTAAGTTCTGCTTTCTGACAGAAGGCCTTCCTACATTCACTACATTCATAAGGTTTCTCTCCTGTATGGATTTTCTGATGGCGAGTAAGTCCAGTACTCAGGCGAAAGGCCATACCACATTCATGACATTCGAAAGGTTTCTCACTAGTATGAATTCTATGATGTTGGGTAAGTTCAGTGCTTTGACAGAAGGCCTTACCACATTCATCACATTCATAAGGTTTTTCTCCAGTATGAATTCTCTGATGGTAAGTAAGCTGTGATCTTTGGTGGAAGGCTTTCTCACATTTATCACATTCAAAAGGTTTTACTCCTGTATGAATTTTCTGATGTCGAATAAGCTGTGAGCTCTGACGGAATGCCTTTCCACATTCATTGCAGTCATAAGGTTTCTCTCCAGTATGAATTCTCCAGTGTTGAATAAGGTGTGTCCTTTTACCAAAGGCTTTGCTACATTCAATACACCGGTAAGGTTTTTCTCCAACATGAGCTCTAAGATGAGATTTAAGGGATGAACTATAATTCAAAGTCTTCCCACATTCATCACATTTATAAAGTTTTCCTCCATTATGAATCCTCAGATGTTGAGTAAGATGTGAATTTTGGTTGAAAGTCTTCCCACATTCATTGGAATCATGTTCCTCTACAATATGAATTTCTTGAGGTCTAATAAGTTTGGTGCTCTGGTGAAGGGCCTTTCCACATATATTATACTCATGAAGTTTTTCTCCAGCATGAATTCTTTTGCTGGGAGAATATAGATTACATGTACAAGGTTTCTCTCTAGTATGAATTTTCTGATGGCAATTGAAGTGTATACTCTGTTGGAAAGTTTTCCCACATTCTCTGTGTTTATAAAATTTCTCTCCAGCAAGAATTTTGAAATGTTGAGTAAGTTGTATCCTGTTATAGGCTTTCCCACATTCAATATGTGCATAAGGTTTCTGTGTAGCATGAATTCTCTGTTGTTGAGTAAGTTGTTTTTTACATAATGTGGCTTTTCCATGTTCATGATGTTTCTTTTCCCTATGCGTTCTGTGATATTCAATAAGGTCTGAATGATAACTGAAATATTTCCCTCTTATATTATACTTAGAAAATTTCTTCTTTGAGCAAATTTCATTATATTTTCTTGGATCTGAATAGAGTCTAAATCCCTTTCTATGTGCATCACTTTGGGGAAGATTCTTTTCTATGAGGACTCTCTGTTGTGGAAAAAGAATTGACCTTACGGCAAAGATTCGACCATATTTATTATATTCATGGCTTCTCAATTTACTCTGTATTTTCCTTTGGATGATGTTTCTTTGATGAGTTTTCTCCTCATCACTCTTCTCCCCCTGTGACTTGGTTTCATATTCCCAAGATTCTCCCAAATTAGAGATGTAAGGACAAACAGTTGTGAGTGTTTCCTGAGATGATTCTTCCACAAGAATGCCCAATTTTTTAATGGGCTTCTTGTTTACAGGTCTGATCTCCCAACCTGAAAGAAAGAAGAAATATCAATTTCCCATAACAAACTTGGTTTAAGCCAAGTCTCTTAATCTTAAGGGAAAAATATCTAAATATCCTTTACTCCCTCTATCACATTCATAAAGAAAAAATAACTCTCAAATTTCAAAAGATAGTAATTAGACAAATAATAAGATCTTACATTTATAGAGTTATTGTGAGGAAAGTGTTTTTATAAACCTCAAAATGTTACATAAATTCAAATTATTATTATAGTCATTACAGCTTATAAAATACTTCACCTTGAACCTAAAACTTTGCAAATGAGAATGAAGTTTACAGTAACTTAGCAACTTACCCAAAGGCACACTGCTAATAAGTTTCAGATCTGGAACTCAAACCAAGTTTTGTGACTCCAAATCCAAAGTTCTTTCCACTACATAATAATACTTCTCTAGTCTTCTATCCCAATGGTCTTTTTTTTTTTTTACTACACTGTTACCTGCTCGTAATGGGATAAAGTTGTTCTCAGCCAGAAATATTTAAGCTATAGACGGATGACCAACAGTTAATGATGATAAGATCATAACAATGATCAAGATAGAACTAAAATGGTAGAGTAGGAGGAAAAATATATAGTGAGCTCCCCTCACAAAAAACCTCCTCCCAGTAGATTCCAAAGTGCACTAACCCAAATCCTCATGGGCAATCTAAGAAAAAGTCAGTGAGTCATTTTTCCATCTGAGGTCAGCACAGAGAGGTCTGCATTCACTGGGGATTAAGTCTGGTCAGGAGTATGACCACGCAGAGCATTCCAACTCAAGGGAGAAGCTGTGCACCAGGGCAAGAGGACCCACACTCCAACCAGGGTGCTGTAGGGCGTGGGAACAAGTGCCAACTGAGAGTTCTGTCTCTCACTATCCAGCCCTAGGTCACAGATCCAGGGCAGACAAAGGAAGGGACCTGTGGTCTGTGGTAGCATTCCATAGTAGTGAGAGTCCTAGAATGTGAACCAAGCAAGGAACAAGTTAAGAAGCAAGCAGAAACAGTGAGGCTCAGACCACAAGGACAGAGCAGGATCACAGTTCCAGTTTCTAGACCAATTTGAATCCCACAGAGAAATAACCTGGACATGAATCATAGATGGAAGGGAAAACTAAACTTTTGTCACTATGAAGCAGTAGAGCTTTCCAGTTGACTGATGGGGGCTAAGATTAGGAGCAGTCTATTGCTGCTTAAACCTAAACACAGTTCAAGAACCCATTCAGCTCAGAATAACATGGGTATGATCAGACTTTGCTCTGGATTGGGCCACTTGGGGAGCACTAAAAGTTTGCATATCCTTAACCTGAGCTGATTCCAAGAGTCTACAATAACACAACACTCAATATTCCAAGGAAGCAGCAAAAGGATGTAGACCTTCCCTACAGAAGTGCCAATAGCCTGGCTCTAACTTAAAGGAAGAACTCAGGAAGTAAGCAAGAAGAATAAGCAAACAGAAAAAAAAAAGAATCGTACCATAAAAAGCTATTATGGTGACAAGGACATTTAAGACACAAACTCAGAAGAATATGACTCCAAAATATCCATAAGTTAAGCCTGAAGGGGAATACAGCTTGAGTACAAGCTCAAATAGAATTCCTGGAAGATATAAAGCAAGAGTTAAAAGTATTGATTTGTTTATATATATATATATATATATATATATATGTGTGTGTGTGTGTGTGTGTGTGTGTATGTATATGTACATATAAATGAAATAAGACTATTAGATGGAAAAATGGAAAAGAAATGAGAACTAAGGAAGAAAGAATTGGAAAAGGATTTAACAACTTAGCATAAGAGGTATAAAACCTTGCTCAAGCGACACACTCTCAGAAAATTAAAATGGATCTAATTAAAGCCAATGACTCCAAGAGACAATAAGAAATATTTAGATAAAGTCAAAATACTGGGAAAAAAAGAAGAAAATGTAAGATATCTGAGGGGGGAAAAAAATCACCTGGATCACAGTTTCAGGAGGAAAAAAAAATTAAAAATCCTACCTGAAAGCTATAACCAAAAAATGAGCCTAGATGTAGTATTTCAAAAAATGCCAATATAACACTGTTCAGATATCTTAGAACCAGAGTACAAAGTGTAAATTGAAACAATCCTCCAGTCCTTACTGGAGAAACCTCTAATATGAAAACTCCCATGAACATTACAACCAAAATTCGGAGCTTTCAGTTCAAATAAAAATACCACAGTCAGAAAGAAGGAATTCAAGTACTAAAGAAGCCACAGTCAGAATCATACAGGATTTAGCAGCCACCACAATAAAGAGGTGGAGAGCTTGGGATATGCTATTTCAGAAAACTGAGGACACGGGAATAGAGCCAAAAAAACCTACCCAGAAAAACTAAATACAATGCTACAGGGAGGGAAATGGATCTTTAATGAAATAGAGGACTTCCAAGTCGGTGGTTGTTCTTCATTCTCAAAGAGGAACAAAATGACATCACTATGTTAGAGTGAAGTCACAGTGTGTCCAGCTGTGGCTGATCAGACTAATATAAGTGACTCATTGATACTTAATGGCATGGGGCAAAGCAAAAGTCCATATGACACTACATTAGAATCTTCCTACCAAATTGAAATCAAACAATGAATAATGACACTTTGGATTTAGCCACTGAACCACATCTGAATCCATCTCTGTGCATGGCACCTCTCCCCCTATTTTCAGAAGACCAGCATAAGAGACTTTATCAAATGCTTGCCTAAAATCTTAAATTATATCTACAGCATTCCCCAAATTGCTAATGTAGCAACCCTGTCAAAAAACCATGGTGTTTAGTTGGGGATGGTGCAGTCTTCCTGAATCCATTTGTCTTTCTGTGATCCATGGACCCCTGGGTAGGCATTTAATAACCGGTGTTTTAATAATTCCCTCTGTAATGGTTCCAGAAATCAAACTGCAGTTTGCAGACTCCATTCTTTGGCCTTCTCTAATTGCAAGGTACCTTCCCCATTCTCCACAGTCTTTGAAACATCACTGATAAAGTCTCAGTAATCACATCGGGCAGTACTTTTAGCAATAGCAAAGGGTGGGAATCTAGCCAATGATCGGTTGTGGCTGAATAAATTTTGGGGCATGAATGAATTATTTCATCATCATAACTGATGGTGATGACGATGATAACTAGCATTTAAGGTTGGAAAAGCAATACTACATTTGGCCTCCAGCCCAAAGCCTTCCCATGTTATCTCATTTAATCTAACATTCCTTATGAACACAGACATAGAGGAGTAGAATCATAGGAAGTGTCCTAAAGAAGAAAGAAGAATCAGAATACACACAGTGCATATAAAAGTATATAAAAATAAAGCGACATAATCCAACAAATACATGGAAGGAAGAGATTCCACAGGAACACTGAGGCAGACATTACATTTGTATTATTATTACTCCCAAATAAATACACACGTTTTTGAATGGGAGAAATTATGAACGGACTTGGGAGATGAGGCACGAGAAAAGCACCTGGTCATGAGGAAACCCCAAAGAAAAGGGACAGGACAAGCTCTATCCTCTGTGGAAACTCCTCTTTCTCTGAATTCGGGGGTGCAAAGGGTGGTCAATCAGCGGACGACCTCTGCTGTGCTGGAGATGAGACTGTATGGACCAGCTCATGTCAGACAGTCTCAGTTCTTCCCTACATGTATGGGGAAGTTTCAGGAAAGCCCTTGCTCCCACATTTTAAAGCTTTCCCCACTTTGAATGGGTACTTAGGAGTTGTAGGAGGTTTTCATTCACTCACCTGGGCAGCTGTTTCTTTGGACTTGCCTCTCTGTCATCCAAGGTGCTTCCTTTCCCTCTAACTGGGAGATGACAGCTGGCTTATTCAATACAAGCCCTGTTCGTCATGAAAAAGGGAAAGTAGTAATGAAAGTAATGCAGAATAAAACTGTCCACTGGGGTGGTGCAAATGAGCTGTGGCGGGGGGTTTGTACTGAATTCTTAGCAAGATAAGGTGCTTGCTCACTTATTCTGGGAAATGAAATTAATTCTGAAATTTAAAGTTCCTCAGGTAATTACCTGGCCAGCTGCAGGACTTCGTCCTGCCCCTGCACTGGGTAGCTAGCCTCCCTTTCCTCACCACTGCCCTGTTTTTCACTCTCTTTTTGTGTGTTCTCTTCCCCCCTCCATTCAATTGTGGCTTCCTTGAGGGCGGGAACCATCTCATGCCGTTCTTTGTATCTCTAGTGCTCAGTATAGTTCCTGGTACGCAGTAGGCCCTTAATAAATGTTGATTCTGACTCTCACAATGGTCATTGGAAAGCAGTCAGAAAGAAAAGCAGTTCCTTTGACCCACTCCCTGCTAAGAGAATGGGAACCTTTCAGGTCTTCAGTTATCTCCACTAGGGCTTTAGGGGATAATCTTAAGCCAGGGAAAAAAGATGGTGGGGGAAATATGACATTACAAAGCGGTAAAAAATGAAGGAAGGACCCAACCCTCTTCCCCCTGAGGACGCCAGTATTTATCAGACCAAAACCAACCCAGCAGCTTCCCCCTAAACAGTGGGACAGCTAGGATAAAACAACAGCCTTGGAGTCAGGAGGACATGAGTTCAAATCCAGCCCCAGATACAGAGTAGTTGTGTGACCCTGGGCAAGTCACTTAACCCTGTTTGTCCCACTACCTCATCTGTAAAGTGACCTGGAGAAGGAAATGGCAAACCACTCCAGTATCTGTGCCAAGAAAACCCCTAATGGGGTCAACGGAGAGTTAGACATGACTGAAATGACTCAATAAAAACAATTAACAAAAGACCTCCACCTGAAAATTCATAGCACAAGTATCCTGCCCTTTGACCATTAAAGAAAAAATAAGACTAACAATCCCTGTTCTGGGCTACTAAATACTAACTGCTCAACAAAATAATGTGCCATAGAGTTCACCGAGAGAGAACCAAAGACCCTTCAATGAGCAAATTTTGAGATCCAGGTTGAAGCTGTCCTTACCCAGGCAGACCAAGTTCTTGTAGTTCTCCATCATCACATCATGGTACAGCTCTTTCTGAGATGTGTCCAGACACCTCCACTCTTCCTGAGTAAACTCCACGGCCACATCTTTAAATGCCACCGATTCCTGAAATGCCAAATATGTTTGTTTTTATAGAAGTAATAGGATTTGGCAGTAGGACGGGGAGACAGGCTAAAGTGTGGCACTAGCCATGTGAATGGAGAGAATTGGATATGTGTGAGAGATGTTGTGCAGATAGAATCAACAAGCCTCAGCAACTCTGCTTCTAAGGTTGTAAACCTAGGTGACTAAAAGCATAGTGTTACACTCAGTACAAAGTTTAGGTGAAAAGATGATTTCTCTTCTGTATATACTAAGTTGGAGATACCTCTGGGACGTGCAGTTTGAAATTTCTAGCACGCAGTTGGTGATGTGGCACTGAAGATAAGGAGAAGAACTAGGGCTGTCTAACTCTTGGAGTGGTATACAGGGAGAGGAAAATGGAATCCAAGGGAACAGATGAGGTCACTAAGAAAGAAAGAGGGTATATGGTGTCAAGATATTAGGAGACATTCAGTTTCCCAGCACCTTTCAGGAGCAGAGGAGATGAATGGTAGGAGTGGCTCATGGGTGGCCTTTGGCAAGACATAATTCTACCAGAGGAACAATTCTCAAATTCTCTGCAAACTTTGTGTTGGTTTCAGCACAAGGTGCTATTGTGACTCCAGACATGTTCTTTTTCTAGATCTTGCCTTGAATTCCTATTCACTTATTCTACAAATGATACTTTTTTTAAAATAAAGATTACCTTCCCCACTGTACTCTATAGTAACACCTAACATATCTCAAGAATGGTAAAAATAGTCATGAAATCAAACCAAACAGAGACAATTACATGGTTCTATGTACTCATTTCTGAATACAAATAACATACAATGCCTATAGACCCATTGGGAAATTTCAGTGGTGAAAGTGCAAGATGAACAAATGTCGAACAGTTGTTTGTGGGCTCTTTGGAAGGGAAAGAAAGTGGAAGAGTTGGAAATCTATTGTTTGTTCTACTGTTTGGAATTGTGGCTTTGACACGTATCACTCATATGAGCCCAGGTGAGTCATTTCACTTTTATATGCCTCAGTTCTCTCATCAATAAAATGGAGACACTATTATTTGCACCATCCACAAGTACTTGTGAACAAAATGCTTTGCAGCATAATCTGAAATTTTGGTAATACTTTACTTCTTCATCCTTCACAGAACCAAGCTCAATATTCAATTCATAGGAGAAATGGATACTTTGATAATATCAAAATTTTTTCAAGAGAAACAAAAGGTCAAGAATATTAAGGGTAATAATGTAAAAAAAAGTGGGAAGGAAAGGAGTCTTTCAATAGCCTATTTCAAACTATACTACAAAATAGTAATCAGTAAAATAATTTAGGAGTTGTTAAAATACAGTGGTCAATCAATGGAGTGCAATAGGTACATATTATACCAGGAAGAAGGGAACAAGCCTTTATTAAACCCCTATTATGTGCCAGACATTTATTAAGCACTTTACAGGTATTGCATTTGATTCTCAAAATCCTGAGAGGTAGGTGCTATTATGATCCTCATTTTATAGTGGAGGAAACCAAGGCAGACAGGTCAAATGACTTGCCCAGGATCACATAGTGTGACTACACTGAGGCTGGATTTGAATTCAAGTTTTCCTGACTATAGACTCAGTATGCTATCTAAAGTGCCACCCAGTTCCCTACAAAAGCAAAGAAAGATGGTATCATAGTGTTACATAAATTCAAAGACTCCCAGTTACAGGGACAATTACTATTTAAAAAAAAATTCTTAGGAAAATTGGATTGCTGTCTTGCAGAAATTAGGGTTAGACTAGCATCTCAGACCATATACCAAGATAAGCTCCAAATTCATACATGACTTAGATCTAAAATATTACATTATAAACTAATTAGAGGGTCAAGGAAGAAATTACCTTTTATACCCATGGATAGGGGAAGAGTCAATGACTAAACAAATGATAGAACCACACAAGATAAAAAGGGCAATTTTGATTATATAAAATTTATTAAAAAGTTCTTGCAAGAACAAATCAACTAGAGTCAAAGTTAGAAGAGAAACAGATAAATGCAAAAACTGAAGAAAACTTCTCATATATGCAGTATATATATACACACACACACACATATAGCAGTATATATAAAGTATATATACTTTTCATATGTACAGTATATATAAAGAACTGGTTAAAATTTACAATACTAAGATCCGTTCTTCAAAAGAAAACTGTTCAACGACTATGAAAAGGTGGTTTTCAGAAAAGTCTAAACTATCAACAACATGAAAAAAATGCTATAAATTGCTGTTGGTGGATCTGTGAAATGGCCCAGCCATTCTGGAAAGCAATTTGGAGCTATGCCTCCAAAGGTACTAACTGTTCATATCACCTGACCCAGTTATAGCTACTACAAGGCTTAGACCACCAAATAAACCAAAGAAGTAGGAAAAGGACCTATATGCACAAAATATTCAAGTAGCTCTTCTTGTAGCAATCAAAAACTAGAAACTAAAGGGCAGGGGATCCTCATATGGGAGACTAGTTAAAAAATTAAGGTAAAAGAATTCAATAGAATATTATGGAGTCATAAGAAATGATAAAATGGACAGTTTCAAAGGAAATCAGGAAAAGGTCCATAACCTGATGCATAACAAAAGGAACTAGGAAAGCTATTTTTAGTGCCAACAACATTTAAGAACTCTGATTAACGCATGACAAACCATGAATCCAGAAGACTGACGAGAAAACATTCTGTTCACCTCCAGGCAGATAGGTAATTAACTTAAATGCAGAAAAAGACATCCATCTTCAGGCATGGTCAATGTGGAAATTTGTTTTGCTATAGTATACATACTCATGATTAGGGATTTGTTTTTCTATTTTTGTTCATTCAGTGGGGAGGCATGAAGTATAAATTTGTTTAAAATTAAATTCATCGCGTAGACTGATGGGGGGATTAAGTGAAATAGAGTTATCCCTTCCACATCTCGACTTTCCTTGTTATGTTTTTGCTGTATCATGGGTTGGCATAAGAACTTACATGGGAATTTTGAGGGAGTTTTTCAGAAGTTGCAGACAATTACGCAAAAGCCAGCAGATGACACAGAAAAAGTTTAGAAACTCAGAAATGCATAAAATATGTGTATAGTATCGTATGGTATCAACATATTTTATTTTTTAATGCCACAATAATTCAGACTCCTTTTCTGGTACAAAGGGAGTGCCAAAACATTTTCCTCAGATTTTCCAGATGATGAGGGCTCTAACCCCTGCAATATGGAAGGGATAAATGTAATATAAATGAAGCACTTTGAAAACCATTAAACACTATATGATATTAGCTACTATTATTATTCTTCCCTGGTGCATGAATTTCTATACAGAACCTATCTCTTTGATATATAATGCCACTCCATTTTTTAATTTGATCTGTTTCTTTTGAATAATAGATTTTCTCCCTTTCTTCCTTCCTCTCTCAGCTATTTGCCAGTCGTAGGTCATGTCCTAACACCTCAGTGATTTTTAGAAGGTCTAATTTATCTTCTTGAATTATCTGTCACTCATAATCATCATTTATGTATAAACATCTAAGGCCAGGAGCTTCATTACTGCCCCTCTCATCAGATACTGTCACTAATGGAACATAGAGGATAGTCTCAGAACTAAGAAGTCCTGGGTTCAAATCCTACTGCCTACATATACTGGTTGTAGACTTTTGGGAAAATAACTTAACCTCTCAATACTTTGGCAACTCTTTAAGACTGTAAGTTGCAGAGAAAAGGCTAATCAATCAATATTTATTAAGTGCCTACAAAGTGTCATGCACTGTGCTAAATGTTGGAGCTACAAAAAGAGTCAAAAGACAGTCCCTGACCTCAAGGAGTTTACACTCTAATGGGGAAGAGAATATGCAAACAAATATATACAAAGCAAGCTATATACAAGAAATGGTAAATAATTAACAGAAGGAAGGCACTGGAATCAGGAGGGATAGAGAAGGCATCCTATAGAAGGTGAGATTTTAGTTGAGGCCAGGGAGGTTAGTAGTTGGAGCAGAGGAGAAAGAGCATTCCAAGCATGGAGGACAGCCAAAGAAAACGCTTGGAGGTGAGAGATGGAAGATCTTGTTCACAGAATAACCAGGAAGCTGGTGTCACTGGATTGAAGAGTACATGATGGGAGTAAGGTCTGAGAAGACTGGAAATGTAGGAGGGGGCTAGATTACAAAGGATTGTGAATGTCAAGAGTCTTTTGTATTTGTTTCTGGAGGCAATAAGAAGCCACTAGAGTTTATGAGTAGGGGAATGCCATGATCACATTTGAACTTTAGGAAAATCACTTTAGTAGCTAAATGGAGGATGGACTGGAGTGTGGAGAAACTTGAGGCAGGCAGATCCACCCAGAAGCTATTGCAAGAATCCAGACATGAAGCGATGAGGGCCTGCACAAGTGGTGTCAGTGTCAGAGGAGAGAATTAAGTGTAATCAACAGGTACAGGTAACAGACTGAATATGGGGTGTAAGAGATAGGAAGGAATCCAGGATGACTCCTAGGTTGTAAGTTTGAGAGATGGGGAGGAGGGTGTTGTTCTCTACAGTAATAGAGAAGGTAACAGGGGCAGGGGGAGGATTTAGGGAAAGAAAATGGGTTCTGTTTTGGCCATATTGAGTTTAGGGATGGCTACTGAATATCCAGCTCAAGATGTTTAAAAGGCAATTGGAGATGAGAGATTGGAGGTCAGCAGAGAAGCTGGGGCAGGATAGGTAAGTTTGAGAATCAGCAACATGGAGATGGAAATTAAATCCATGGGAGCTGATGAGATTCCCCAAGTGAAGTAGTCTAAAGGGAGAAGAGAAGAGAGTCCAGAACAGAACCGTGAGGCACACCTACAGTTAGAGGGCATGATCTGGAGGAGAATCCAGCAAAAGAGAAAGGGCAGGCCTGGTAAGATAGGTAGAGGGACATCAGGAGACAGTAGTGTCCCAAAAACCTAGAGAGAAGAAAGTATCAAGGAGGAGAGAGTGATCAGAGGAAAGGTCGTTAGATTTGGCGATTAAGACATCATCATAACTTTGGAAACTGCAATTTCAGTGGAATGATAGTGTTGGAAGCCAGAGTATAAGAGGTTAAGAAGAGAATAAGAGGAGAGAAAGGGGAGCAGATGGAGGAGTTTAGCTACAAAGGGCAGAAGAGACATAGGATGGTAACTGGGATGGAAGGATCAATCTTCATCAGCAGATGGAATTTCCTCATTTGGAAGTTCCCAACTGATGAAATCACTGATGAAAAAAGGCCAAATCCCTACTCTATATAAGGATTTTTTTTCCTTTGTCCTGCTTGTTCATCTCTGTTATATTTAGCTTCTAGATACATATGGAGTTTTCTACCCCTTCTACCTTTCAATTTAAATTCCTTGATTTATTTTGAATTGAATGTTTTAAATGGCCTTCCTCCCCTGATAAGCACCCATTATCTAAGGATTTAAACTATATTTTGAACTAAATGTTTCTGGCAAACTAATTCTAGCCATGGGGCTGATGGATACAAAAAAAGCATTAATTCCAAGTTGTTGCTTGTTGGTTTTTTTTTAAACATTCCTCGATAGACTTTGTTGATTATCTGTCTTACAGAACTCTTTAGCCTTAGGCTTTACCATGTGCTTTGAGTTTCATTTCCACGCAACCCAACTCAGATGAGGCAGAGCCCTTCTTGCTAGAGATTTAAGATGTAACAAAAGAGGAGCAGTTACTGTCCCAAACTGTCTATGGCTGCTCCTGCCTCTCACTTCCTCCTAGGCCCTGATCAAGTGTGTTAATAAGTAGACTGTGGGCTGGTGTTGGTTCCCTTGGAGGCTGGAGAATTGCATGGGTATGGAGGATACATACATGGCCATACTTCTAAAAATACTTTGTTTTATGACATTATTTCAAAATAGAACTTGAAGATCTATAAATGTGACATTTTAATGAAGAAATGCTTGAATAATTCAAAGATCCATGATTTTATCACTGCTTTCTCTGAGGTCACTGCAAATACAGAACCTTACATTGGATGATTAGATATAATTTCCTGTGTAATCATTCAGTGTTAGCTGATAGCATGAATAGTTTGTTAAATGGAACGAGGCGTTCGCATTATAAAAACTTAACCACCAGGATGCTTTGACAAATGTTTGGCCATCAAGCAGCATTGATACCTACTACCCTGACATTATATAAATGAATAGGATCATGAGCTGGTGAGCCATACTCACCCTGGCAGTTCTTCATCCCATGGAAGGGGTACATAGGGGAGGTGCCTAGGATTTTCACATAGCAGTCAGCCTTGTCTCTCTAAGATACACTGCTATCTGGTTGGTCACACTGACCTACTCCCTGAACTTACAATAATTCACTCATCTGTTATCGTAAAACGTTGTCATAAGGGAATTGACTGTCCCCAGGAATGTCTAGACATCTTGGATAACATAAACATCTTACTCTTGGCATAGAAACAATAAGGGCAAGAAAACAATGGCTAATAAAACATCTGCCCTGTGTAGCCTATCCCAGGCAGTCCACAGATGCTACATAGCTTGTTCTAAACCCATTAGTTCTAGGGAAAGCACTGGTTGCTTCAGTTACTACATCTGTGAGCAGGCAAAAGACCAGACAATACAACAGCATTCCATCATTGTCTGACTTCCTTCAGACAGAGTTAGTGTTTAGGTGAAGGAGGAGCCCAAATCTCTCACATACAGCACAAAGCATGCTCTTTGAATGTAGTACCAACTAGAACTCATGACAGCTGTTGCTTTTGGGTTTAGTGTCCTATCCCTGGAAGGCATCAGAGTGCTTCTCAATACTGCTAGCTAATTCTCCTAACACAGGGATGTGGGCAGGGACAGGCCAGAGATAGAAACACTCTCCCCTCCAGCCACCATCTTGCCTCTTCTATCTCTCATTCATTGCTGCTCTTTTACCCTACATTCAAATTTACTATGGTCAAGATGTATGTTCCCCCTGTCCCCAGCCCCAGCCCCTTCATGTCTAATGCATTTACCTCACCTGTTGTACTCCACCTTGATGATGTTTTATCACTTCTACCTGCCCTTGTTCTCTCACTCCCCCACTCCATGCAGGAGGGAAGTACAAAGAGTGAGAGTGAGATGGAGATGAGTGATTACATTGGGTGAAAAGAAAAGTAGGAAGCAATCCCTAAGGAGTACATTACCTAGGAAGATGACATAGTATTTTGGAAGGAGAGTTCTATGTGGACTCAAGGGACCTGAGTTCAAATCCAGACTATGGCCTCTGGCAAAGCATTTCCCTACTTAAGCCTTTGGCTGAACAATAGCTAGATTAGATGATCTCCAAGCCCTTTGCCAGCACTAAAATTAGGATTCGTTGAAGGTTTATTGGATTGTGGAATATGAGGAAAACGTGTCCATACTTTGAGAACCAACACATTATATTAGGAAAAAGGAAACTCTCACTTACTTGGGGGTCCTTGGCTGGAAGAATCACGGGGCCCATTTTATCTTCCTCAGTACTCCCCTTATTGGGGGAAATGTAGAGATGTAGGGAGATAAAGCTAGGGAGGAAAAGAGAACAATAAGAGAGAGACATAGGCCATAGCGTACAGCTCCCAAAATCATGGTGCTATAAATTCTTTGCCCCTTCTCTGTTCAAATTAAGATCAGAGAGAACCCATGGATGGCCTAGCAAATAGGATATCTGTGTTGAAATGCAACTTCCACCCTTCCTACCTATGTACCCTTCCTACCCATGTGAACATGGGTAAGTCACTTGCCTCTTCTGAGCCTCAGTTTCCATATCTGCAAAGAAGGAATAATGATAGCTACTGTACCTTGGGTACAGCAAATGATAGGACTCAAATGACATAGTGTATGTCAGGTGCTATTTAAATGTATTATTATCATTATTATCCTATTCTCATCTTTTGAATGGCATTTGAATAGCTATGGTCAACATGCATTTATCAAGCATTAGATTATGAGCTTCTTGAGAGGGGGGATTGTTTTTTGCCTTTCTTTTTGTTCTGAGAATGAACTCATATGATGCCTGGAACATAGTAGGTGCTTAATAAATATTTAATAGCTAAGTACCAGCTGTGTGCCAGGCACGGTGCAAATCACTGGGTATACAAAGAAATACCAAAAGCCTGCCCCTGATCTCAAGGACTTCACAGTCTAGTGTGACAACATACAACCAACAATATAAAAAGTTTTCAAAAGGAAGTAATGAACAGAGGAAAGAGACTAGCCCTGAGGGAGCTTGGGAAAAAGTTCTTGTAGAAGGTGGAACTTCAGCTGAGACTTGATGGAAGCCTGGTCCTGGGACAAGTCACCGTCATGCTGGTTTTCATTATTTTGTGCTCTGTGTGCAAAGATACTAAGGGTCACAGATTTCTGAGGTGAGAGAATTCAGCGTCCATTTAGTTCAACCCACGTGCCCACATCAATCTCCACTACAATGAATAAGTCTTCCAATCAATCATTGCTTTCCAACTATGACCAGGAGTGAGGTTGAGGGTGGGGGTGGGGGTAGGGAGAGAAGGAATGCTTAACCCTTAAGCTAGTAAGACCATACAGGATAAAATAGACAACTTAAATTACAGGACATTGAAAATATTTTGCATGAACAAAATGAACACATCTCAGATAAAGGAAATTGCCTACTGGGAGAAAGAGAAAGAGAGAAACAGAGACAGAGAGACAGAGAGAGACAGGGATACAGACAGAGACAGAGATCTTGACTTCACATCAAGAAAAACTCCTGAACACTTAGAGCTGTTCCAAAGTGGAAATCCTGATGGGGCCCCCTCCCAGAAGGCCTTTGAGCAGAAGTAGGGGATATTATGGTAGGGATTCCTTTGGTGTATTCTTTGGACTGGATGACTGCTGAGGTCCCTTCTATGATTCAGTGGCTTTTCTGAGAAGATTGAAGAAATCCACAGGTCTCAGTTGCCTTCTTCCATCTTTCACTATTTCTTAGAACCAGTCTCTCCTCTTTATCTCCTCTCTCAGGGAAAGAAGTCTCTTGACACTTTAGAAAGCCAAATCCTACTTGGCCTTTGATTTCACTACAGGTCACCTTCTCCAAGATCTAGCTTCAATAATCATATGCTTTCTCTAACTGGGTATCTTATGCCTTACATCTCCCACTGGGGCAGAGCATGTCCCCTCAGTGAAGGTAGTGAGGGGCTGGACCTGGTCTGGAGCAGGTGTCTTCCATCTGCCCCAAAGCAATGGCTTCCATCTGGACCAGCACAAGGCAGCTTCCACTGCCTGCTGCCAGTTTTGGTACACTGGATAGAGTGCCAGGCCTGGAGTCAGGATGATCTGAGTTCAAATCCAGCTTCAGATACTTACTAAATGTGTGACCATGAGCAAGCAGCTTAACTTTTCTAAGCCCCAGTTCCTTTATATATTAAATGTGGATAACAATAGCACCTGCATATTATTTTGAGGATCAAATAACACCTAATTATGAAGCCCTTAGCACAGTGCCTGGCACACAGTAAGCAATATATAAACGTTAGGTATTCCAGCCTTCTCAGGTGAGAAGACTTCCGACCACCCACACCTTCGTGCCTTGAGCCTTCAGTCTGCTGCAGTGTGTCTACTGAGGAAAGGTTGCTAAGGGCCTGGTGAGGCATCTTTTATCTGTTCCAAAGCAACTGCTTCCATCTATACCAGCACCTGTTGCCAGTCCAATCACCCAACATGGTTGTGGAGAACTTTCAATGCAAAAACTAACCTTCCCTTTCACTTCAGCCCTCACATTTCCTGTTGTAGCCATCCTCTGAGGGAATGGTGGTGGCACCCTCCACTCAATGATGAACATTTTCACACCTGGTCATACCATTCACATGCCAGTGACTTTAAACTTCTGTAGACCATCATCCATACCACATTGCATGCCCCTTACCACCCTATTCCTCATTACCATCCACCCCAAAGTTTCAGCTTACGTCACCCAAATCTTCCGCTGTTCTCTCTGGAATTCCTGTTCCATAGGTGACGAATCTCCCTTCATCTTAAATCTCCTCTTCCACTCCTTCCAAATCTTCCTATCTTTTACTGAAACCTGACTTCCCTCTGATAACACAGGGACCTTGGCCACCCTTTCCAGTACTCTCTGCACCTTCACTCATTTTCCTTAGCTCACTGATTGATGTGGGGGAGTTGGAATACTCCTTGCTCCTCATTTCCACGTCCAGGTTCTCCTTCTTCCTCCATCACTCGGTAACCTCTCCTCCTTTGAGGTACATGTTATTTAAATCTACCACACAATCAAAATCCCAGTAGCTGTTGTCTACAGACCCCCAAGTCGCTCCCCTTCCTTCCTCACAGAATTTGATGCCTGGCTTACAATTTTTCTCTCCTCCTAACTCCTGGTCTCATGCCAGGGGACTTGAACATACATACTGATTCTTCCTCAAATACCGAACCATTCAGTTCCTCAACCTATTTGCCTCTCATGAACTAGTCCTCCAACCAACCTCAGGCACAGACAAAGCTGGCCAAACTGTTGGTCTTGCCATCACTCACAAATGTATCATCTCTATTTTTAGGAATTCTGAAATCCCCTTGTCTGACCATGATCTACTGGCTTTTCATCTCTCTCTCTGCCTTCCCTTCCATGACCCTACTTCTTCATCTTCATAAGAGCTCCAAGCCCTAGACCCCCTCATTTATTTCCCAAGTCATCTCCCCTGTTGTGGCCCCCTCTCATCTTTTTTCCATCTTGACCCTCTGCTGACCCAATTCAACTCTGTGCTCTCTTCCTCTCTTCAATTACTAGCCCCCTTATCATATTACCAATTATGCCAGCTAAGCCTCAGCCTTGAATCACTGCCACTATTTGTTGCTTTCACTCTTTTTCACAGGCTGCTCAGTGAAGGTAGAGAAAAAACACAAATATTCTGAATGGGTCCACTACCAATTTGTAACCTCAGCTGGGCCCTTATTGCTGCTGGGCAATCCTGCTATACCTGCCCTATCAATTCGCTATCCCACTCTCCACAGCTACTCTTCCAAACCTTTTCATCCCTCCTCAAACTTCCCATGGCTCCTCCTCCCCCAGCTCTCTCAGTTAAGGATTACCTCATATTTTATTGGGAAAAAAAATGAAGCCATTTTCTGGGAACTCCCTCTTCTCCCCACTTCCTTATCCCCTGTCACTCACTTGTCTTCTGCCATTCTCTGCTCCTTCACCCCTGTCTCACAGGATGAAATGGCTTTATTGCTTCCCAAGGCTAACCTCTCTACTAGTTCTAGTAATCCCATTCCATTCCTTCTCCTTCAGTAGATTGCTCCCTGTGTTGTTTTTATTCTATCACTCTTTTTCAATCTCTTGCTGTCACCTGGCTCATTTCTTACTGCCTAGGAACATGTTCATGTCTCCCCTGTCCTGAAAAAAAAAAAAACAACCCAACAACCCTCACTCGATTCTTCCATCCCTACTATTGTCCTCTATTTCTTCTGTTCTTTGTAGATAAAGTCCTTAAAAAGGCTGCCTACAACAGGTGCTACCACTGTCTCATGTCCCACTTACTATCTGGCTTCCAACCTTGACATTCCCCTAAAACTGTTCCTCCAAAGTTTCTAATGATCTCCTAGTTGCCAAATCCAATGGCCTTTTCTCAATCCTCATTTTCCTTGATCTCTCTGCAACCTTTGACACTGTTGATCAGTCCTCCTTGAAAATATCTTCTCTCTGGGTTTTCAGAACATCACTCTCTTCTGGTTCTCCTACCTGTCTGACCTCTTTCTCCATTTCCCTTTGCTGGATTCTCATCCATCTCATGCCCTATAAGTGTAGATGTCCCACAACATTGTGTCCTGGGCCCTTTCTTTTCTCCCTCTATACTATTTAACTTAGTGAGCTCATTAGCTCCCATGGATTTAATTACTCTCAAATGTCATCCTATCCTGCCCCAACCTCTCTGGTGACCTCCAATCTCACATTTCCAACTGCGTTTCAGGCATTTCAAACTGAATATCCAGTAGATATTTTAAGCTCAGCCTGTCTAAAACCCAACTTTCCCCCGTAAACTCTCCTACCTCTTACCTACTGTCAAGGGCAATACCATCCTCCCCATCCCTTGAGCTCCCAACCTAACAGTCACCTTCAACTCCTCACTATCTCTCATGCCATCTCCTTTTCCAATCTGTTGCCCAGGCCTGTTGATGTCACCTTTGCACCATCTCTGCATCATTTCCCTCCTCTGACACTGCCCCCAACCTGGCCCAGGCCCTCATGGCTTCGACTGTTGTAACAATCGGCTGGTGGGCCTGACTGCCTCAAATCTCTCCCTGCTCCAATTCTTCCTCCACTCAGCTACTAAAATGATTTTCCTAAAGTGCAATCCTGAACACATCACCCCTATACTCAGTAAACTTCAGTGGTTCCCAAACACTTCAAGAATCAAATACGAAATCCTCCATTTGGCATTCAAAGCCCTCCATAACCTACCCACTTCCTATCTTTCTGATCTTCCTATACCTTACTCTCATGTCACATCTTTTTACCCCTTACACCATGTATTCTTTGTTCCAGTGACATTGGCCTCCTGGCTCTTCCACTAACAAGATACTCCATGTCTCAGCTCTGGATCTTTTCTCTATTATTCATGCCTGGAATTTCCATCTCTCCTCATTTCTGCCTCCTGCCTTCCTTTAAGTCCAAACTAGAATGTCATCTTCTGCTGGAAGCCTTTCCTAGGCCCCACTTAATTCTTAGCGCCTTACCTCTGTTCATTATTTCCCATTTATCCTGTATATGGCTATTTTTGTATATGTGTTTATTTGCTGTCCCCCTTGCCCCAGGATTGTGAGCTCCTGTAGGTTTTTTGCCTCTTTTTGTATCCCCAGCTCTTAGCACCTGCCTGGCACATAGCAGGCAATTAATAAATGTTTACTGATTGATTAATATTCTCTCTTATGAACATCCAGCCTTCTCTAGGGGCCTCCTTCTGCCCTCTCCAATGCCTGCCCTAAGAGATTACCTCCCACCTACTCTGTATATCTTAAATGTACATAGTCAATTATATTGTCTCCACAGCAGACTGAGAGCCTTTGAAGGGGCAGTGAAATCAAGGAAGGCTTCTCCTGAGAAGCCCCATAGACTTAGAGGTGGTGCACAGGTGAAGATTTATTAGATGAGCCCTGCCCTCATTAGAGACAAAAGTACAGTCACCTGCCCACTAACTGGAGGTGGCCCAGGATGCAGTGGGGATCCTTGGCTTTTTCATTTTCCAGCTAAGATCCTTAACAGGTCTCAGTTTGACAGCCAAACAGAGACCTGTTAAGGACTGAAGCAAAGAATGTCCTCTTAAAAAAAATAGACCTGGGAGGGGGAAGACCCTCAGGGTTTCTGGCCAAAACAGAAATAATTGCTATTTACATTCATTCTGGGATAAAGAGGGCCCAAACAATGGCCAAGTCTGGGACCTATTACCAGAGAGACAAAACCAGAGTGCTTTGGGGTTAAGGCAGGTGTGCAAGAGAAAAGGAGAAAGAAAGAAAGAAAGAAAGAAAGAAAGAAAGAAAGAAAGAAAGAAAGAAAGAAAGAAAGAAAGAAAGAAAGAAAGAAAGAAAGAAAGAAAGAAAGAAAGAAAGAAAGAAAGAAAGAAAGAAAGGGAAGAAAGGAAGAAAAGGAAGAAAAGAAAGAAAGGAAAAAAGAGAGAGGGAGGAAGGGAGGGAGGGAGGGAGAGAGAGAGAGAGAGAGAGAGAGAGAGAGAGAGAGAGAGAGAGAGAGAGAGGCGGGTGGGAGGGAGGGAGGAAAGGGAGAAAGAAAGAGGAAAAAAGAAAAAGAAAGATGTATGTTGCCCAACTGGCCAATTTCAGTTTAGTTCCTAGTGAGCAGCTCCTTTTCTGCTCATAGAGATTGCTGTTTGTCCTTAGTTCTTGAAGAGGACCAAGGCAGCAAGAAAGTGATGCCAAAAGGAATGTAAACTTTAATCTCTGAATTTTTTTTTCTCCTTTTCTCTTACACACCAGCCTTAACCCCAAATCACTCCGGTTCTCAATCATTGGCCAATAATAGGTCCCTGGCCAAGCCCACTTTGGCCATTGTTTGGGCCCCCATTGGCTCAGAGTGAATGTAAATAGCAATTGAGCAATTGTTTCTATTTTGGCCAGAAACCTGAGGGTCTTCCCCTCCCAGATCTTTTTTTTTTTTTTAAGAGGACATTCTTTGTTTCATTTCTTATTAAGCCTTAATCGCTGAATAGGCTTTACCTCAGTCAAACTGAGACCTGTTATGGACCTTAGCTTGAAAAGGCCAAGGATTCCCACTGCATCCTGGGCCACCTCCAGTTGTCCTGGTCTATATCTGGCCACTGGACCCAGAAGGCTCCGGAGTGACAGTGAGGCTGGTGGCCCTGCGCAGCCCTCCCCCACTTAAATCCGATTAACTTGCATGTCACGGCATCGCCTCCCTGCTGGTCCTCTTCCAGAACGAAGGAAGAACAGCAGCACCCGCCCGCCTCGCGCCCCGCCCCTCTCTAGATCTCCAGTCCCTCTCCCCCATCTCTGCCTCAGTTTCCAGGCCTACCTGGCGGTGTAAGGCCACAGACGAATTAATCAACTCATTTCTCACCACTGCTGAAGGCTGCGTGCGTTGTTTCCTTTTCTATACCGCAACATAGATTGATTTTTGCCCAAGGGCTGGTAGAAGAGATTTGTTGCTATGGCGACAATACCGCCCCCCCCTTTTATCCCCGCCCTCTGAAAGACCCGCGGTTGGAGGGGAGGAACTGCAGGAGCTGTCATTCGTGGACATAATGGCCAAATAAAGGCAATACCATAGTCCAACCTCTGCCCAGTGTCTATTTCTATGAGCTGACGTTTTATCACCAGGAGGGATTTGTAGTATCCTTGGTGCTCCCGTTGTTTCTGGTGCGGTTACATTCTATATATTCCTTCAGTGGTACGTTGTACCCACTAAGTTTGTATTTGTATCCATTGTGGCTATATCCTGTTGGGCGAGGAAAGAGGGAGAGGAGACGCTGGAGCCAGGACTAGCCTTCCCTCCCTCCCTCCCTCTCTTCCTTCCTTCCTCCCTTCCTCTTCCTTCCTCCTCTACTTTCTTCCTCCCTTCCTCCTTCCTTCCTCCTTTCCTTCCTTCCTTCCTCATTTCCTTTCCTTCCTTCCTTCCTTCCTTCCTTCCTTCCTTCCTTCCTTCCTTCCTTCCTTCCTTCCTTCCATCTCTCCCTCCTTTTCTTCCTTCCCTCTCTTCCTCTCTTTCCCTGCCTTGTCAGTTGGAAGACACTAAGAATTGCAGAGAACCAGGAGAGACTTCTTGAAGCAGGTGCAATTGAAATGAGTTTAAAGCAATCCAAAAGAAGGAGGTGAGTGTAGAGAACACTGCTGTGCAAAGACATCATACCAATGGGAGATGGAAAGTCGAGTACAGGGAAGAGCAGGCTCATCCATCTGGCAGTAGTACAGAAAGGACAAGCACCCGTGGAGTCAGCCTCGAAAGGTAGTTTTGCATGACAAACAGAATTTTGTGTTTTCTTCTGAAGGCAAAGGGAGCCACTGCAGCTTCTCCTGAAGATGAGACTTACTTGGCCCATTCCTACCGCTCTGGTCTTCTTACATTTTCCCTGCCTCTCCAACCCAACTCTACTGACGCCCGCTATAGTTCTCCCCCACTTCCCTCAACACTCCATCTCCCAACTCTCTGTCATTTCAGTCATTTTCTTTCGTGCCTGCAATGGACCCCTTCTTTGCCTCCACCTCCTGGTTTTCTCTTCTTTCTGCAAGACTTAGCTCAAATCTCTCCAGAGAGTTCTTTGCCAGCCTCCTCCAGGCCCCTATTGCTAGTATATTCTCTTTGGGATTACCTCCCCTTTGACATTGTATGTACACAATTGCTTACATGTTTGTCTTTTCCATTAGAATGTGAGCTCCTAACTATTCATCACTTGGTCCTTTCTTGCTTTTGTAGTCTTCTCACACTGCTCTTGTTCACACACTTAGTGATAAAACAATGCTCTCAACCTATTACCTCTTTGAGAAAATGGGGACAACAAAAGCCCCTACCTTGTACAGTTGTTGTAAGGATCAAAAGACTTTATAAAGTACATTGCACATCTTGAAACAAAATATAAATGTAAACTATTATAATCCCCCTCAATGTTGGTTCCCTGAGGTTTATTTATGAGAATGGAGGTAATTAAGCCCAGTACCAGGCAGGTGGCAGTATGGGACTGTCCCTGGGTAGCAGTGATGGGATGTGGGATAGAGGGATGAATACAGCTGGCAATCAGCCCATATGCCTATTTCTGCAGCTGACACCTCCCACCCAAAGTGTTCATCTGCACAAATGGGGAATCTTAGCCAACAAGCCTGGACAAGATGCCTTCACTTCAACAGTCCAGTCTGTCCCATCCATTGGACCTTTCTTCACTAGATTCAGGGCTCTTAGTGACACTGAGAAAAGCCTAGATCTGGCATAGATTTGCATCAGTTCCCTCCCCCAATCCACTCCCTATACCAACCTTATGTAGACAGAGAATAAGAGGTTAATTGAAGACTCCAACTCCAGAATGTATTCTTCAGGAAATAGAGTCCTAGTGGGTTTTCACACAGCAGAACATGAGCCTGGTGAGAAGAGGGACTGTATTCCTCACAAGCATAAATATGGATGCCTTCCCCATGGACATTTTTTCTTTTTTTAGCATTTAGAAGCAAGAGGCAGCACCAGATCTCAAACTATCCTACAAGGCTGTCGTCCTTGTCATTTCATTGTTTTAATCAAATATTTGAATAAAGACCAAGGTCTAGGTCTTTGACCACTTGGCATCAAATATGGACCAGGTACTAGTGTGGTAGCATCAATACTGAGAATGCTAGGGAGTGTTGTTTCTGTTTATGTCTTAATCTGACCAGGTCCCATATATTTAGTGATTCAATGCACTAAGATTTGAGTGAGGCACACACACACACACACACACACACACACACACACACACACACACACATACATACATCTGTTACATCAACTTCACGTATACCACCCATATTTCCTATCAGAGAGCTATCTATTACAATAAAGGATTTTTAAATAAAAGAAAAAGGAGTGAAAAAATAATGAAAATCAATCCTTAAAAGTTTGAATTTATGGGTAATACTACATATTAATGGATTCACAACTTTTCAAAGTTGAGGGAAGTGTTTTCTAATATTTCTTCTTTAGGACCAAGTTTGGTAATTATAACTGTTACAGTTTCTTTCTTTCACCACAGTAATATTCCATTACATTTATGGTTGAGTTTTATTAATCATTCACCAATCGATGAGCATAAACTTTATTTTGAATTCTTTGCTATTGCAAAGAGAGATAAATTGTTTTACTTTTTATACATGTAAATGTAAACTATATGTCAAAATAGTAGTTGGGTAGTTTGAAAGAAAGTGAGGTAGAGCTGAGTATCATGTGATTCTAAAAAGTAAAATGATGTAGGAATAGGTAAGAAGAGTAATTATACAAATGAGATGTGAGAGGAAGAGCTGATGCAAAGGAATTAGATGGTGGAGGAGGGTGGGTAGTTAAAGAGGGAACAATACATACACATCTAGAAGGGTATAAAAGTCTTCTAAATTCAGAAAGAAATAAGAGGGCAAAGGAATAAGGAGGAGATAAGGATAAGGGAGGGATAGGGAATAGAATAAAGGGAGTTAAGAAGGATGTGTAGATTAATGGGAAAGGGATAAAGAGGGAACTATATTTATACATACATATGTATAAAAATCTACTAAATTAAAAAAAGAAATAAAAGGGTAAGGAGATGGGGTGGAGGGAGAGGATAAGGGAGGGATTCTTGCAGGGGGGGTAGGTTAAGGAGTGAAGAGGGACAGGAAAAGGGTGAGAATAGTGAGGAAAATAGGAAGGAGGAAAGGGAAAAGATGTGAAGGAACCAGATTCAGTGGTATTAGACCTTAAACCATATTGTTAGGTGACAGCATTGTTGAAGTGTAAAATGGAGACTTTTGATTATTTTAAATTAATTTTTTTCCTGTCTAAATAAAACCTATGTAGCCAAGAATAGAGAGAATGAAGAAAATTAGGGGAAAACTCTGTAGACAGTCTCCCAGATAGAGTGTGATTTGGTGGGAATATTGTGCTATAGGAAATGATGAGCTGGTGGATTTAGAAAAATATGGAAAGACTGGACTTAAGGAAGAGAAACAGATGACAAGTTGAAATAAGCATAATACTGTCTTAAGTGCTTGCATCTGGATGTGTATATATGTTTATGGATATCTATGTGTATGTGAATATATACATATATGCATATATGTGTGCATATATGTATATATGTACTATATATATGTGTGTGTGTGTGTGTATATATATATATATATATATACATACACATGGTAGCCTTGTGGGGGGATGGGGAAAAATAAAGTAAAAAGTGAACAGCAGGGACAAAAGAAAACATAAGGAAGCAAAGAAAAGATGGGCAGCTTTGAAAATAATGTGTAGTATTCAATATATAGATTTTCTTGAAATGGAAATTTATTGTCTTATATTGAATCTCATTTATGTTCTGCTGTGTACATGGCAATGTTTTTCTTTTCTTATTTTGTATATGTTTAAAATAATTTAAAAACTTTAAAAAAAAAGGAAAGAAAAATGCTTGTTTCCTCCCTTCCCAAACGGGTATTTTCTCTTGCCTCAACTCGCTCCTCCTTCTTACTGCCCTATTTCTCTGGCACCTCCAAAAGGTCCTCTCAGTCCACCAAAACCTTCTGCAATACTCATGGCACCTCATAACACAGCTCCTTTTCAGGCCCTTCTCATAATACCTCACCCTCAGCACTCCTCTCCAGCCCAACCGGACGCCTGGATCACCTGAACACACACTGTTCTTTCCCATCGCTGGTCCACCGTCGCAGGCGTTCCTGTGGAATCCCTACCTGGCCTGTGGTCCAAACTTTCCTCTCCCCTTTCCCTCCAGCGCCCAAAGCTCTTTTCTGCTATGCTTTCACTCCCCGCAGGAGCCCTCAGAACCAGCCCTCGGACAGCTCCGGCCAATCAGGGATGCTGGCAGGATTGGAGGCGGGGCCTGCGAAGCCTGGTCTCAGCTCCGCCCCCTCGGCCCAAGTCTATAACCCCACCTCTGCTAGGCTAAACCTCCGCCCAACTCCACGCCTGCTCCCAAAACCCTGCCCCTAGCCTTTCCCACCCTTGCCTTAAGGGGAAACTGGGGCCACAGGGAGTCAAACAGTTATCCCAAAGTTAATAGGGCGGTGGTCTGAACCCAGCATCTGCCCTCTTCACCTCCTGCCTCTGTCAGGAGACTCTGCAAGGGACAGGGAAAAATCTCTCCCTTCGGAGAGAGGAGCAAGCTTAGATTGGACACTAAGTTCTTTTAGGATCTTAATTAGAAGGAAAGTGTGACAGTGTGGCTCAGGGACAGATCAGTCCCACCCCTGCCAGAGAGGGGTAACCTAAAAGTCAGTATACTTCCTTCACCAGTATTAAAAGGGCATGCCTGCTCACCTATGGAGCCCTCACGGATGCTCCAGAGAAAAACAGAACAAGTTTCTTAGGACCTGAGGCTATGGGCCTGGAGGCTGTAAATCCTAAGGCCCTAGCATTGTAAATCTGAGCTGGAAATGACCTCGGAGGCCATTGAGACTATACCTTGCTTATGAAGAGGAGGAAACCCAGGCTTATGGAGGTTGTGCTTTATCTACATGGGAAGACTATAGTTTATCCCAGTCACTTAAAAAAAAATCAC